GAAAAGCAGCTTGTACCCTGTCACCGTTGGGGCACGGATGAGCCCAAACAAACTCACTGTGCTCAGGGGCCGCCCCAGACAGGGGCCACATCCAGCCCCCGTGCCCTCAGCACCTCCCAAGAGCAAATGGGGGCGGAAGAGCCCGCAGGAACCTGCCGGCCGATGTCCGACCACACAGCACCACCGCTCCCGCCCCAGCCCAGGGCCCTGGGTGCTCAGGTCATCCCCTGATCCCTTCCAAACCCCGTTTCCCTCTTTTCAGCAGAGCTGCTGCACCCTTGGGGTGATCCCAGAATTCACCCCATGCCTGACTTTGGTTTCCCGATGTTTTACGACACCAAACCCTACAAGCAGGAGGGAAACGGGGGAAAAAATGGGATTTATGGACAGGGAGCACAACAGGGATGGCAGGGAAGGCCGCTGGGCTGGCAGCAGGCTCAGAGCTAAACCTTAGCGCGGGCAGGAGGCGTGGGAGCTGCCCGTACGTGGAGGGCTGGGCAGGAGGGACCGTCCCCTCTCCCAGGACAATCCCCAGCTCCGCTCCCGGCCTCTCACTTGGGGTCCTTGACGAGGAGGCGGCGGATGAAGTCCTTGGCCAGCTCGCTGGTGTTGCTGAAATACTCCTCGTCGAAGTCGTAGTTGACGGCGGATATGTTGGTCAGGGTCTCCTGCTTCGTCTCCCCGAGGAAGGGGGAGGCTCCGCTCAGCCTGCGGCGAGAGCGGGCTGTGACACCCCAAAAAGGCGACAGCCTTTTTTTTTAGAGCCCGTCTCCCCCCGACTCCCCTCATACTCACAGGATGTAAGTGATGACCCCGATGCTCCTGGAAGAGGGAGGAAACGAGGCTGAAGCCCGGCAGAGCCCCCTCCGTCCCGCCGGGACCGGCCGCTGGTGCCACTGGGGCCAGCGCCGGAAGGTGCTTGGGAGGGGACTCACTCACCACATGTCGGCCTCCAGCCCCAGGGGCTCGTAGTTCACAATTTCCGGAGCTTTAGAAGGAAAAAAGAGGAGAAAACAGGCTTATTTGGGGGAAGGAAGGATGTCGCCCTGCACGCACCCCAGCAGTTCCCAGCCTGCCGATCCGGGGCTTTGGACGTCTCCCCGGGATTAAGCAAAGGCCCCGGCGCCAGAGGAGCCCACAGGAACAGCGCCGGCCCGGCCTCACCGACAAACTCCGGCGTCCCAAATATATTCTTGAATTCATTCCCAGCTTCAATCTTGTGGGCGATCCCGAAGTCGATGAGTTTGATGCGGGGATTTGGCACGTTCTTGTCCAGCAGCATGATGTTCTCTGGCTGCAGGGGGAGAGGAGCCGGGGTTTAGAATCATGGAATGGTT